AGTCTCCCCCGGGTGCTCTGACTACCAAGGCCCCCCTCCCAGCCACGATAACAGTGACCATAGCCAACACAGAAACTTCTGACATGCCCTTCTCTGCTGTTGACATCCTGCAGCCCCCAGAGGACCTCCAGGTCTCCCCAGGGCCTCGCCAGCAGCTGCCACCCCGGCAACTCCTGCAGTCTGCCTCCACACCCCTGATGGGGGAGGCCGCCGAGGTCCTGTCCGCCTCCCACGCCCCTGAGATCCAGACCGCCGTGGATCTGAGCAGCACGGGTGACCCGTCTTCAGGCCAGGAGCCTGCCAGCTCAGCCGTAGTAGCCACCGTGGTGGTCCAGCCTCCCCCGCCCACACAGTCTGAAGTAGACCAGTTATCACTTCCCCAAGAGCTGATGGCCGAGGCCCAGGCAGGCACTACCACCCTCATGGTAACAGGGCTGACCCCTGAGGAGCTGGCGGTGACTGCAGCTGCTGAGGCAGCCGCCCAGGCCGCCGCTACAGAGGAAGCCCAGGCCCTGGCCATCCAAGCAGTGCTTCAGGCTGCACAGCAGGCTGTCATGGGTAGGTGCCAGCTGGGAGCACTGAGGGGGCTTGTGGGGGAGTGATGACCTTATGCAGCAGACTTAGGTGCCAGGCTGCAGACTCAGCCTGAGAAGAAGAGGCAAGGGTGGTAATTGTCAGACATTGTGAGGCAGGATAGACATGGTGGGCCCTGGGGTGGGCTGGGCCTAGCACCCAGGGAGGTGGTGGGGCCCCTTCGCCAGGAGAAACCAGGCATGTGGGCCAGGTCCTAGGGCCCCGATGGGTCTGTCTGCTGGGGCAAGTGTGCTGTTTGACCCTCCTTTTGAGTAGCATTGTATTGGCCCTGGAGCAGGTACTGGGGAGCCCATGGACACATCAGAGGCAGCAGCAGGGACACAGGCGGGGCTGGCACCTGTCGGCAGAGGGCCAGGAGGGCCAGGCCACCACCATTCCTATCGTGCTGACCCAGCAGGAGCTGGCTGCCCTGGTACAGCAGCAGCAGCAGCTGCAGGAGGCCCAGGCCCAGCAGCAGCACCACCACCTGCCCACTGAGGCCCTGGCCCCTGCTGACAGTCTCAACGACCCAACCATTGAGGGCAACTGCCTCAGCGAGCTGGCTGGTGCAGTGCCCAGCACTGTGGCCCTGCTGCCCTCAACAGCCACTGAGAGTAAGCAGAGCCCTCCTTGGCCTTGGGCCCTCCCTCCAGGGTGTGCAGTTGGCTAACTTGACTAAAGGCTAACTGGTGGTGGGTGACCAGAGGGAGACTGGCACCTAGGGTGGGATGTGGGCAGGTCTGTCAGGCTTTCCCTTGACTCCCCATTTGTTCACAGGCCTGGCTCCATCTAACACATTTGTGGCCCCTCAGCCGGTTGTGGTGGCCAGCCCAGCAAAGCTGCAGGCTGCGGCCACCCTAACGGAAGTGGCCAACGGCATTGAGTCCCTGGGTGTAGTAAGTTCAGCATGATGGGGTCCAGGGCATGGGGGGCAATGCTGCCTCTAGTCCCCAAGGACTGAGGACCTGATGTTGCTTCCCTGTTTGTGTTTCCAGAAGCCAGACCTGCCTCCCCCACCCACCAAAGCCCCAGTGAAGAAGGAAAACCAGTGGTTTGATGTGGGGGTGATTAAGGGCACCAATGTAATGGTGACACACTATTTCCTGCCACCAGATGATGCTGTCCCATCAGACGTAAGTGGCCCCAGAAGCTGATGCCCTTGGGTGGATGGCCCCTGATCATGAGACAAGTATGGGTAGAGGTGGGCTCAGTTCACCACCACGAGTGGTGCTCACAAGAAACACCTCCATCTTTGGGCCAGTTTGAGTGACCACGAAACCCAAGGTCAGCTAGGCAGAGCCGCCTTACCTCTCCTGCCCACGGAAAACAGCCACACCCCTCCTTGCTGGGAAGGGGCAGCCATCGCTGACCTCTTTACCCTCTAGCCCTGCAGTCACCACATGACCTTTTACTGTCCTTGGAGCAGACTTCTTGATGGGCTTCATATCACTTTCTGTGTTCTCTCCCTGCCCTTCTGCCCTCTTCATCCAGGATGACTCAGGCACAGTCCCTGATTATAACCAACTGAAGAAGCAGGAGCTGCAGCCTGGCACAGCCTATAAGTTTCGTGTAGCCGGCATCAACGCCTGTGGCAGGGGGCCCTTCAGTGAGATCTCCGCTTTCAAGACATGTCTGCCTGGTTTCCCTGGGGCCCCCTGTGCCATTAAGATCAGCAAAGTGAGTCTCGTGGGAGAGCCCTGTGTCCTTAACTGGGCTGAGGGCACCCTGGGGCAAGCCAAGCAAGGCTCCTCACGAGGTTCTCAGGATGTGGGCTGAGTCAGCCAGTCCACCTGTGCAGAGCAGAGCTGCTGGCCAGCTGGGGAATGGCAGGGGCCTTGGCTTCTGGTCCTGCCTGTGTCACGACGTGCCGCTGCCCAGCCTTGGTTTCGTGCTACTCTGCAGCCACTGTGAGCCAGCCCCTGTGTGGTTCTGTGTGTTCTCCGTGTGTTCTTTCATCTGATACCAAAACACACCAAGGTGGTCTGGGCCCTGTGGTTAGCTGCATGTGGAAACTGAGGCACCCAGAGGGCCAAGTGACAGGTCATATTAGGCGAGAGAGTGTGTGAGAAGTCTGTTTTGACCTCTTTCTATTATTTCTTCCACTTGGGTAGATTTCTCTACAGCTCTTCAAACTCCGATATAGAACATTTCTATTGTGTTAGAGGACAGATGTCCTGTGTCAAGTATGGGCAGTCAATTCTAGATGCTCTTAGCCCCCCTCTTGTCCTGGGACAGGTGGTAAGCTGAGACCCTTGACCTTTTGCCCCTTGGTTTCAGAGTCCAGATGGCGCTCACCTCACCTGGGAGCCTCCCTCCGTGACCTCTGGCAAGATCATTGAGTACTCTGTGTACCTGGCCATCCAGAGCTCGCAAGCCGGTGGTGAGCCAAAGAGCTCGAGCCCAGCCCAGCTGGCCTTCATGCGGGTATACTGCGGCCCCAGCCCCTCCTGCCTGGTGCAGTCCTCCAGCCTCTCCACCGCCCACATCGACTACACCACTAAGCCCGCCATCATCTTCCGTATCGCTGCCCGCAATGAGAAGGGCTATGGTCCAGCCACGCAAGTCAGGTGGTTGCAAGGTGAGTATCGTGTGAGTGGGCTAGGGAACTTGGTTCTGAACTGTACCTCAGAGTTTTATGGTGCTGCTGTAGGGCGTTATAGGGCTGTCTCACAGGGGGTGTCTCACCTGTTCTGAGGGAGTATGGAAAACTGCCTCAAGGTATTTCAGCTGAGAAGGGCTGGGGAGCATTGCAGGAAAGCAAAGGTTGCCAAGCCCAGGAAGAGCAGCAGGCTCTGGAGTGAGGTCACTCCAGGTTGAGGCCAGAGCCTGGCAGGGGGAGTGAAGGTGGTCATAGGCTGGGAGCTGAGCCAAGATAGTTGCTGGCCTGCACCCAGGGGGCAATCAGAGGGAAGTGATGCCCCTAGGTGGCTGGTTGTGTGGTGGGCTAAGGGGCTCTCATGGGCTGTACTGCTCACCTTGCAATGGTTCCTTCCAGAAACCAGTAAAGACAGCTCAGGCACCAAGCCAGCCAGCAAGCGACCCATGTCCTCACCAGAAATGTAAGCATGCGGGACCAGCAGGTGGCGTGGTGGTTAAGGCACTGGACAGTCCCACTTGGCAACCACGGTTCGAGTCCTGGACCTGGTGGCTTGCTTTCTCACTTTCCTCCCTCCCTCTCTGTGTCTCTGGTCAAATTAAAATGGAGGGAGGGAGGGAAGGAAGGAAGGAATGAATGAATCTTTGAAAGAAGAAATGTAAGCATGAGCCCCTATTGGAGGCCTTCTGAGGTGGGTGGAGGTGAAATTAGGCAGGCTCAGCCCCTCTGTGTGTGTGTGTGTGTGTGCATACGCGCATGTACGTATGTATGTACGTGCTACCAGGACCAACTCTGACTCTCTCTCTCTCTCCCATCTTCCAAGGAAATCCGCTCCAAAGAAATCTAAGGCAGATGGTCAGTGAGAGGAAGCTGACCAGTACTTGGATTCTTCTCCAGCCCCCCTTCTGCTTCAGGAACCACCGCCAGGGCCACCACTCCCATCCCCTCAGCCTCTGCACCCCATCACGAGCCGCCGGCCACCATTCATTCTCCCTCCTTTCTCTGTTTTTAAACTAATCTAAATCTAAAGAAAGCACATTTTACCATTGCTGTTGGGAGAAAGCCGGAGGCAGTGGGGAAGGGGCAGTGAGAGAGAGTGTTCCTCCTCCCCATTCCCCAACACCTGCTCCTGGGGCTGAGCCACTATTCCGCGCTTCCGTGGCCCTTGCCCAAGTGGGCAGCCTATAGGAGGCTGGGAGAGCGCCCCCGGCCCCTCTGAGAGGCTTTCCTAGGCTCCAGCCTGTGTGCCCCGCTGCGGTTTTATTTCATTTCTTGCCGCCCCCTTTCCCCAGGCCTAGCCAGCCCCTCTGCCCAGCGACCCCACAGGAAGCTTACACATTTTCAGAGGCCTTTGTGCTCCCACCTCCTCTCCCCTCTTCTTTCCCACTTAAGAAGAAGAAAAAAAAAAATGGGGGGAAGGAGGCGGCCTGAGCTGCTCTGGCAACTTCCCTTTCATGGGCGGGGAGTCCTGCCCGCCTGGCCTGGCCCTGTCCGCTTCTGGTTGGGGCCACATCACCGACTGCTGCATCTGTTGTATTTTTTTAAGTTGAAATTGATGAAGTTAACATTTTTATTGTAATTTTAGCCTTAGTGTGTGGGGTTTTGTCCCTTTTTTGTTGTTAGCTGTGTACAGAATGTGTATCCTTTTTTCCTTTTTTTTTTTTTTTTTTTTCCTTTTTTTTCTTTTGGAAATCCTTGGGCGGGGTTTCCTTGGCAGGGATCTTTCTGGAGGAAAAGCTGGGGGCAGCACCCGGGCAGAAAAGGTAATGGATCTCCCACATGGGGCCTTGTGTTCGCTGCCCAGCCAGGTTCTCTGTGGCCAGCCCTGCTCTGCCTCTGCCTGTTCCAGGTGTCCAGGACAAAGGGAGGGTGAGCTACCCAACCTCAGTTTCCTTGAGTGACCATGCCACCCCTGTAGGGTCAAGCTCCAGGGAGCTTGAGGGTGAGCTGGCACTTCCTGGGCCTCAGTTTGCTTCTGGCTCCCCATAGCATGGCCAGCATGACAGCTGGCTGAGACAGGCTGGGGCTCCCTGCAGCCAGTGCCACTCTTCGAAGTTGCAATGATAGAAAGCAAGTTAAGAGTTGGAAGGACACTGGGTCTCCAGGGAGGGCTGGTGTTTGGTGTCACCCAGAGGGCAGCTGCCACCAGGTCTATGAACCTACAGCATTGCCCCCCAGCTCTGGGGGTTGGTCCTTTGTGGGGATTTTCCTGCCTCACACTGGGCTTTCGGCACCCGCAAGGCTGATAACCAGGCCGCAGAAGGACAGAAGATGGGCATCCAGTCTTTTCAGCCCCCATACCCCCTGCCACCCATGCCCTCTGGGGCTTCTGGTTTGTTGTATTATAGTATCTTTGGCTGTGGAAAATGTCACGTTTAGTCACCTCAAAGCCCACCCGCCTGGTCCCATTGTTTTTCCCTGTCCCTTTTCCTGAGCGCCCTTTGGTTTCTCGTTTCTGAGAACAGTACACCCGTTCATCTATTGTAGAGTAACCCTTGTGACTCAATATTACCATAGTGCGATGTCGTTTTGTGCTATTTTGAACAATTAAAAGACTTTTTTTGAAATAACCATATCTGTGTCTGGCTGTATCTGAGGCTCCCAGGGCCTGTGGGTGTGCCTACAGAACATGGAAAGATTCAGGGCACAACCTTGCTGGCCAGTGGCCTCGGACTGAGCCCAGCTAAGTCTGAACCACCTGCAGAAAGACCCAGGACAAGCTATCTTGCAGGGCAAGAGCCAAGGGGCTCCTTGGGCAGTTGCTGCTGACTCTATCAGGAGGCCAAGTCACCTATCCTACAACAGGACAGGGCATCTGACTGGGCAAAGGTTTAGCAGGTCATCAGTAAGCTGTGCACATAGTGGGTGCTACAGGAGGGAACCTCATCAAGCTCCCTCACATGCATAAGCCGGGCCCCCAGAGGCTGAGGAACAGGGCTGTTGAGCCACACTGCCTGGCTGGCAGTTGAGCTGGGTGGTCCAGCTAGGATTAGCTGAACTGAACCCGTATTTGGTGCTAACCAGCCTGGAAACGGAGAAAGCCTGGGGCTGAAAGAGGGCTCAGCAGTGTAGCTCATGGTGTCAGGTGGGGCTCAGGGGAGCATGGCATGCTGCCAGGACTCTAGGTCCCAGTGCCCATGCTAGGGAAGAAGGGCCATGGGGGAGACTTCCTTAAGCTTCCCCCCACTTCATTACTCCCTGGCCCCTCTTCCTCCTCCATCTCCTGTGGCATGGGGTTGCCCAGGATTGCCTGCCAAGCATGCTTATAAGCCAATGAGGGCCCAGGCCCACAGACCTCTTGGGAAGCAGGGGTCCCCAGTGAGCTCCTCGCTCATGCCCAGCCCACTGCAATGCCCTCCTCTAGCCTGTTGGCTTTGATACCAGGAGTCACAGCTGATGTGCCCCAGGGCCCAGCTTTGGTCAGCATCTGTCTGGTCGTCCAGAGCTCAGGGGAGGGCCCTGAGAGGGACACACGGTGTCCTTTGGAGTGGACCTGGAGGAATCCTGCCCAGGGTGAATAGGCCATGCGGGGCTAGTCCCAGGAGGGCAAATGCCTTCATCAACATAGCCTGGGGAGGCAGGCTGTTCTGTAGCCAGTACCCATGGGCTACCTGCCCTCCACTGTCCCGCACCCACCTGCCTCATGGCAGGCAGTCACACTCCTGAAGGCAAAGGCCACAGCAGTAGCTGGTGATGGTCTAGAGACACGGCTTGGATCTGAACCCACCACTCCAGCTGCCTGAGGTGGACCTGGGCAAGCAGAGGTGCCCTGCTCCTGGGCCCAGTGGGGAAGGCGCTTCTAGTTCTCTACCTTTGAACTGGCTGATTCCCCATTCACTGGACCCAGGGCTGGGGGACCACCCATAGGAACCTGGAACTCTCCACATACCACAGCTTGTGCACAGCTAGGCTTGGGGCAGTATGTACTGGGGGAGGTTGGACAAATCAGATAATGCCACGACAGGTGTCTGCAAACAGGGCAGATGGGCACACAACCAGGATCTCCTAAGCATAAGCTGAGGTTGAAGGTGGATGGGATTATTAGAGCAGCCTGCAGGCCAGGGCGGTCTGTCTCCTCCCCAGGCAGCCCAAGGAGCTTCTCGGGATGGGGAGGGTCAGCCTGCAGCAGGCCCTAGAAACCTGGAAGGAGGTGGCCCCTGCATCATCTGTCCCAGAGCTGCACTGACAAGGCAGAGGGCTAGTTATGCTCCTGGGCTGTATGTAGCCCATTCTTCCAGAAGGGGTGACACACAAGTCCCAGCTCTCTAAGGCACACTAGGAGCCCTGGAACCTCCCCACCACCACAGACTTCATTCTACTAAGCACTGAGGTTGCCCAGCCTGTTTGAGAGCCTCTGATCCAGGCAGATGATCACAGCACTCAGACCAGATCCGGGCTGGAAGTCAGGCTCCTCCGAGAGCTGGGGGTGCCCGCTCT